CAAGGAGGATCACCAGTACTCCCGCTGGATTGAAGTCATAGTCTTAATTTAAGAGAAAAAATTGTCTCGAAAACTTACATGAAGCTGCAGTGAAACCTGAAGCTGTTTGCGTTGGGATTCCCACCGTGAAGTATCGAGAGGTTTCGTCGAGTCGTGAGACGGTGAGTGGGAAAAGAAACAGTACATTTGATATCATTTGATCGTAGGAACTTCAACTCATGGTCCGTCGTTTGGTCCAATCCCGATCAAATCACAAAGGGCATGCAGTTGGCTACCTCTTTGGCGCTTCAAACAAACCTTCTTTTGCACCTGCACGCTGATGGCTGCTCGCCGTTCTTCGGCAAACGGAGAAGGGATACATCAGGGCCTGGCAGGGAATCGGCAAATGCTGGAGGATCTGGCCGACATCGAACTCAGCAATGAACTTTAATAACAATGAAAGGCCCGTTCAAGAAGTTGCAAACAAACGTGGTTTTGTTGCAACAGCACTTGGGCACTTGATCAGTTCTTCTCTCTCTATATATATATATATACATATATCTTCCAGTGATTCCATGTATGGAAGGTAGCAATCGTAATTTATATGCGCTGACCCCTGAAACCACCCCAATGTAAATATACCATGCGTGGAATTTCTGGGATTGGAATAAATCCCTGCAAGCAAAAACAACACTGCGGTAAGAACAATTGTATCAGTTCTTCGCCTATCCCGAAAGAACATCCATGGCCCGCCACAAGGGCTCCAAACATTTCATGGCCACCGCTCCAAAGGGATGTTTCTTGGAGGGCAAGGGCCCATTCTCCACTCACTTGGGTCTAAATTCCCACCCCCTTTGGATCTCTTGGGCCTGATTGTTTATTGCAAGAGGTCCTTGGTTCTTTTGCTCTATCAATCCCAAAGTTGGGGGCCACCACACCCCCAACATCACCAAGTCAGCTGGGAGGAAGCGGGTTCTCTTAAGCCGATGCAGGTGTTGGGATGTGAAAATCACCGCTTGTGGAAACCACATCCACGTTGCAAAAACCATCAGAAACCACTAGTACCCACAATTTGACTGTGCACTGTTTGAAAACTGATCACCTTGTGAAAATAGAGACAGCAGGGTTGCATGTGTAATGACTTTGCAGGCAAATGCGACATCATGCGCCACTTACACCAGCCACAACTATACGTCGGTCATGTCTGGGTGAAGTGTTTGGAATGGCCCGCCGCTGATCTCCAATCCATTCGAGGCTCCCAACGGTGCAAGGGAGTTTGTGTATCCTCCATGCCTGGCAAGGGCTGCGCTGCTATAATACGTCAAGGAGAGCAGTTACAAGTGATTGATGATCAGCAAACGAGCGCTGGGATCACCCGGGTTAAAAGCAGTCCTGCAAGGTCGAATTGCGCGGCGGACTTTGGCGCCGAGGGGACGTGACACATTGGTTGGTCAAACTACAACTTTGTGCCGGCCGACGCACACAAAAGGAACCGCCCGCTGCAGAGTCAGAAACCTTTCAACACCACCAGCTCTGATCAAAATGCGTTGCACCAAAGAAAGCCAAAGCGCGGGTAGTGGCGGTGGAAAAGTAGTTCTGAATGCATGAGCCTGCCACCTTGACCCATCAATCTGCATAAGTCGCATTGTCGAAAACTGCGCGACTGAGACCTGCCTGCCAGGAATTTGCGGTAACATCCTACGCCGAGATATTGAAGAAAATACCGTTCACATTCGATCATGAGGTTGGATGCCCCACAGTGCATCCAATTCACGCTTCAGTTGAAAGGCAACCTCCGCATGACACTGAGCGCTCTCCTTGCGCGCATGATTATAAAATTGGTTGGTCCATCTTGCATAATGCATGTAAACCCTTGTAAATCTGCATGTCAATCCACAAACCTGGCCTGCAAGGTTTTTCCCGACAGCAGCCGCCTGCTTGCAGAACATGGTCCCACCTTTTCCGCCCCAAAAGGACTGGGCGCCTAGCTTTTCGGCATCACTTCGCACCAACCCCCGTGAAATGAGCGCGACCAAAAAAATCGACACAGGTGCGGTCACACGGCGAAAGTTGAACCCTGCAACACAAGTCCAACGAAGGAAAGCTGCAGATATGCGGCCTGGCGTGAAAACACCAAAGAGCCTAGCAAACAAGGTATAAAAACAAAAAATTGAGGAGCAAGAATGTAGATCATGTGGGGGTGACAATTAAACACATGTGTATATATATTGTACATATATCATATATATCACCTGATTTCGATTCGATTGATTCCGGATCTCCCCTTCGCCCACTCGCGTCATCTTGCGTCCTGAAACACTCCCATTCACCGCGGCGAGGCGAAACCGCGCGGGCGAACGGCACCTGGCAGGACTCGCTTCGCCTGGCAAGGTCATGACGTGTAAGCCATGCAAGTACAATAGGACCGACCTGACTCTTCGCGAGTCGACTCCCTCAAAGGAACTCTACTGACTCCCGAGCCGCTTTGTTGGAACAGGTTCAACAAACTGTCCACCCGTTTGGTTTCGAAAAACAAAATATCCCGCAAGACCCCAAACAGTGTGTGTGCATGTGTGTGTCACCTTTGGAGTCACAAGGTTCCTTTCGGATTCTTTTTCCTATACAACAGAAGCAGGGGGATCACCCACGGACTTGACTGGTGTCAAGCTCCGTGCTGATATCTGGCCTGATCAGCCAGACGTACCTGCTGTGATTACCACTTACTTCGTCATGGGCCCCTTTGTCACTAGAACAAGAATTCTCACCTGTTTGCATCGGCAGTCACGCACTTGTTTAGAGCTTGAAGTTTGAGCTTGGAGGTTTGCAGGTTTCTCGGCGCTTTGAGGAAAGTCATTTGACGGTGTTTGTACCTGGCACCTTAGGCAGTTTCTACTCGTGAGAGCCCAGGGTGAGCCCGCAGAGTGCCCCGGGTTTGTCGAACGTATCCCCTGCCCGGATACAGAGCAGCTCGCAGCGAGCGTAGGTGGCCTAGGCCAAAGTTACTTGCCAAGACCAGTGCTTGCTACTGAATTCCAAGCTGGCTGCTGGCTTATGCCTTTACGTGACCGCAGCGGTCAAAGCAGCCAGCCATTTTGGCACGGCACATTAGGGTCCCTAGGTGCACACACAGCGCTTACATTTTCAACCAGGTTAGCATAGGTTTCTAATGAGGTTTGGCTTCATCGGTTCTCGTCCCCTCCATTTGTTTCCTCTTTTCATCCTTTCCCCTTCACGCACCTCTGTTTTCCTCTTTTCTTTCACTGCCCGGCCCTTAAGTTAGTATGTACGTGCGCTTTAAACTTAGGTTTTAGGTCGCCCTGGTTTTTACAATGAGGTGGGTTTTCAACGGTTGTCCCTATGCACTTGGTTCCCTTTCATCGCAACCACACAGTACCACACACACCTTTGTCCCGTCTTGTCCCCCTTTCATGTCCTCATTCTTTTGTCTTGCTGCGCGCACACATACACAATCGCCCTGACCTTAGCATTTTCGCCTCCCCTTGGGGAGGCGTGTGTGTGTGTGTCAACCCCTGTGCCGAAGGGTTCGCCACCACCTTCACAATCACCACTGTTTC